GCGAGACTCCATCTCAAAAAAAAAAGGAAAAAAAAAAAAAAAAAGAAATCCAGATCGCCAAAAGTCAACAAAATTTTATCCACCTTACAGCAACTTGCAGACAACTCATCCATAGCTCTGTTCACATTTTTATTATTTTACATTTTATTATAAAATTGAATATGCACATATGTCTATCCATACGCGTAAGTGGTTAAGCAAAAGTTTCTTTCTGATGATTATCCAGAGGGGTAATTCTTCAAAGGGGAAACCCAACATATAAGAAAAAGCCCATGACAGAAGGGGCCAACCGTTAAGTGCTTATTCAAAGCGTAAGAGAGAGGCTCTTCAGATAGTAGCTGCTCCTTCCTCACCCTTCCCTGTGAGGAATGATCAAGTGTTTTACATATTCATTTCAACCTTTTTTTTTTTGTTTGAAGAAATTACATTTTTGCCATCGCACTGTACAGAAGAGTTGTATTTGCACATATATAGCCACACGGATATATCGCCATACCTTCACGTGGTTGTCTAATGATAAATCGGAAAAATCCACCCCAAAGGGAGTGCTTCCTTTTAAGTAATTTTTCCTCTTCATCGTCAGATGACTTCACAAAAACGTGATTATGAGCTTGTTTCTAAGCGTACAAGCATAGGAGGGGAGCATTAATCGGTGCACAGCGCATATGTACATACCTATAAATCTGCAACGTTTCGTGATTGTCCCCGCCCCCCTAACTTCTCTCATAACTGCATTTTTTTAGGTGCAAATGTGACTACATATATAGGCGTGCTCTTACCTCCATGTTTAAGTTTCGACTATATTGCGTGCATGTGGCCTTTACCGAATAAGGCGGAAGATACACTTTAAATGAAGCCTCGCTTATTTTATCAAAACGTTGTAGTTTTCTTCAACAGTGTTGTGTACCTTTCGATGATCGTCCGCATGCTTTTCTACGTACGCCTTGCTCGTCGCTCCGCATAGTTGTTCCATGGTTAAATTGTTTCCATTTTTTTTTTATGAGGCGTACGCGCAGGCCCTAGTACGAATAAACGTGTAGCTATGTACAGGTGCTAATACGTGAGAGAAAAAAAAGGAAGAAACATAATTAACGTGATAGCTGACGGCAGAGAAGATTCCTGTCTTATAACAGAACGAACAAAAACAAGCCACCCATCAGGAGTAGAAGTGGACGTGGAAGCGGAAGAAGAAAGGGCGCCCTTTTTTGCCCCATTTTACAACCCACTTCTACACGTCGTACGTATGCCATTTCGTACAATGATAATTCCTTCCATTACAACAATTTCGAAATGACAAGTCGTCACATAATAAAAAACATTTCACGCACAAAACACAGAAGGAAAAGCAGAAACAGCATGTCAAAGGAAGCTTAACTCCCCTTCAGTACGAGCCATTTTGTGTAACACTGGAAAGGAATATTTTCACTGGGATCACACTTATGATGGAGGAAAAAAAAAAAAAAAAAAATTTTTAATATTAACAAAATATAATGATTAATAATACTAAGGAGAACACCGATCTGTGTACCCCTGAACAAGACAACTGGGTGCAATGTGATCGGTGTGAAAAATGGAGGAAGCTTCCCGCCTACATTGACATGAACAACTTGCCCAAAATATGGTACTGTAATTTGAATGTGGACCCTAGATATAATTCTTGCGATATAGAAGAGGAAGTATCTGCTTATAATTCAGATTGGGGCAAACATCTTCTTGCAGGGCACTTCAATGCTGGAAATGTTGCTAGTGAGCTGGAGAGGGGTTTACACTCAAACGGTGTTATTCTTACCGATGGACGCAGCAACATGGTTAGTGCCAGTCACCCCAGTGCTCGCGCTCATCATATCGAGGATCAGTATTCAGTGGGGGCAGAATCCTTCCACGCGAGTAGTTCCCACGGCGATGTTACTAAGGCGTATGATGAGGCCAACCCATTTGTGATCAAGGGATCCCACCATAGTAATGTTAACCGTAGTAGTGGTAACCAAGGCAGCAAAAACCACTACAGTGATGGCAAATCTTCCTCTTCTCTCCCCTCGAGGGAGTTTTTCATCCATGGACAAAAAACTCCCGCGGTGGCACTACCTAACAATGTTGCATTCGCGTTTGGCAGCTCTGAGGATGTGAGTGGTCCTAGGCGTGGAAGCAAAAATACACATATGGGAAGTAACTATAAATGTGTGGAAGGCCATCTCGGCATGCACACCACGGAGGTCAGCATAAACACGAAAGGGAAGCGCGAGAAAGAAGGCGGGATGTTACCGAAGAAGCCACTCAAGCGGAAAGAAGGGGGAAAGGGCAGTGGAAATCCAACGGGGAACAATGCAAATCGTGCCGTGACCACCCCCATCCCCAACCACGTTAATGCTAATAACAGTTATTTGAAGCAGGCTGAGGGGGAAGATGAACAGCGCACCCCCCACGGCGAGCCAGGAGAGGACATCCCAAATGTAGCCACCAAAAGTTGGAAGAAGAAAAATAAGGACACCAATAAGGTCACCAATAAGGGCACAAATAAGGGCACTAATAAGAAGGCCTATAAGAATGCTAATACGAATAGGCGGAACGACCTGCTAGCCCGACACAAACGAAGCAACAGTGATGGAGAGATATATGAGAACCAGAGACGGAAAGAGGAGTTTCCCCTACACAGGATGCATGTGAGCGACACGGATATGAACACAGCAGGCAACATAAAAAGGTACAAAAATTTTAAAAAGAAGGGAAGCAGCTGCGCCACCCCGTTTTATTCCTTTATGCACTCAATCGTTAACATGAATTTGAAAAACAAAAATAAGAAGCCTTTGGGGAAGGAAAAAAATAAAAAGAGGGGAGAAGAAGAAGCCCCGAGGGGAATTTCGACCGTCGAAGTGAAGGAGAAGACGGAAGGTAGCGATTCCAATGAGAACAGGGTTAAAGTGCCAACAGATAAAAAATATGCTAAGAAAAAGAAAGGAAAAAATGGCGATGCGGATCAGGGAGCAACCGGTGGCAACGTGGAGAGAAAAAAAACCCAGAAAAAAAAAAAAGACCCAGCGAATGGACAAGCGAATCTCCAGCTCAACAACCACCCACAGAGCGCTGTTAACTACAATAGGGAGGTGTCAAACGAGGGAGGCATCCTCCAGAATGATAACTGGGAGAAAGCGAATCACCGTTTTGCCAAAGGTGAAGAAGAAGCGGAAGAAATGGACCATCTAAACAATGGGGTTCTCTCCCACGCACACGTCGCGCAAGATTATATCACCGTGCCAAGCAAGCCCCTCGAATTAGGAAAGAATAACTCACCCAAGAAGGGACACCAAGATGTACCTTTTGGGAGTGTTCCTTCCAATGACCAAGCCACTTACGCATTCCCGACTGAACTGAACAGTGTCATCGTGGAAGATGCCCGTAACTCCACCGGGAGAGTAGATCCAAACAACAACAACAGCCAAACAGTGATCGAAACGAATAACACCTCCAACAATGTAGTTAATTGGGTCCAGTGTGAAAGCTGCAGAAAGTGGCGAAAAGTGGACGCACATATTGACATCAACCTGTTGCCAGACGAGTGGTATTGCTCTCTTAACTTCTGGAGCAAATACAACAACTGCAAAATGGAGGAGGAAGTATATATTGAGGAAAATCTGAACCCAGAATTAGAGCATAGCTTCGACAAACCAGAACAGGGGGTAGTTAAGGAGGGGGAAGTCATTCCCTCTATGGCAGGTCCAGAAGTAGACAAAAAGGGTAAGGGAAATGAGAAGAACCAGCTGAGCGAAGGAGCTAGGAAGAATGATCACCCAACAAAGGGGGGGGATGCTCTGCAATTCCAAGAAAGAACCGACCGCGCAGGGAAAACAAAATCAAGTAAAAAGAATCGAAATGGCAACAATGCGATGATTAGAAATAGTGATGTAATCAAAACGGGAGCAAAAAAAAACACCGTGTCGAGTAAGTCAAATAAAAAAGCAGACAAAGGAGACGATTCTTTCGAAGAACATGTGATAGGCAACAGGATGGATAACTTCCAAAGTGACATCTTCAGGGAATATGAACTTCTGGACACTCTAAGCGCTGACCAGTTTTATAACCCCCTCATTAAGGAGAGTTATCGCCTGCCAATGAACTGTGGAGATGTGAAAACTCCCCTTTTCAGGGCTAACGATGGAGAATACAACCCCTGCAACGATAGTGACATAATAATGGGCTATGGCAAAAGGACCGAGACTCAGGAGACGCAGGAGACTCAAGAAACGCAGGAAGAATTGTTTAATAGCTTGTCGCGCGTAACCTCGGGGTCGCATAAAATAGATACGCCAGTGCATTCAAAAAGGGGCAAATCTTATAAAAGTGAACTGCAACGAAGCAGTAGTTTCCTCGTGGGGAAGGAAAATGGCCTCCTCGAGGGGAATCGCTCAGCAGCGTACGACGCAGCAGCGAACCTCATTGAAGCCACCCTCCGTGAAGGAACATCACAAAGAGGAAGCAACCCCATGGACTTATTACAGGGTTCCAGAAAATTCCGGCATTCGCTAAACGACGGAAAATTAAGTTACTACGTAAACAACGCCAATATTTTTAAGATGTTTTACTCTTTGCCAAAATATGATTATCACTTGGATGTAAGGGACAGTACAGTCAATGAGGAGGTCTTTCCAGAGACCCATATGGAGAATCAAAACGCAGGCGAGAACACTTGCCATCCCTCTGTCCATCCCGGTGCCCATTTGTCGTATTACTCCTTCGTGTGCTCAAACCAACGGGAGGCGAAGAGGTGCAATTCGTTTGACGTGGGGGGCAGTACCAACGAAGTCACCACCACCGAGGCGAACATGAGGAACCTCGGGGAGCGAAACTACCTCTCCGACAGCGTCCTCCAAATAAGGAGACGCAAAAGCGAGTTCATAAAGAAGAATATCCAATACCGTTACGCAGATCGAGTGTCCAAACCGTGGAATTTTCTGCATCATGGGAGTGAAGATAATCACCAAGGCGGAACACCCCCTGAAGATTACTCTTCCCAGAGATACAGCTATTCTTATGCAGCCATCAAAAGTGAATTCAGATCCTCCTACCCTGGGGCACAACCTGCTCTCTATGGGAAAAAGATCGTGAGATACGTTTCGCCGCGGATGAGGAAGAATCATTATGTGAACCACTTGGACAGAGTGAACACCACCGTGGAGAGTTACCCAGGAGGCCATGAAGAGGACATTGCAGAAGGAAACGATCGTGAAAACCGCTGCCAGTACCGCTATGGTGATGATCACCCCAGGGAGTACACCAGCGATGACGCCGAGCTGTACGACATACTGGTGCAGAGATTGCAGAGCGATAAATACAAGGGAACTGTGATCAACAGAAACGTTGATCTTGGGCTTCCCTATGGAACGTATGGAAGGAGGGCAACAGACACTGACGCTCTGGTGGCGAACTATGATGACATCCACGAGCATAATAACACCGACGGGGGGATAATCAAGGGAAGTACCATCAACCCTAACGATGATGCACAAATGGGAAGCAATTTAGACGGGGAAAAGAGTCCCCAATTTAACTACTTCCATCACAGGTGGGCGAAGAAAAACAGAGGAGACAGCAATTATAATGCGATGAGCGTAACCAACCAACTTAATGAAGAGAAGGATGACATAATTCCGTCCCACTACCTTCGTTACAGTAAGGGTGACACAAAAGAGGAAGAGCTACAGGACGTGCAGAATTATCCTCTCTCCAGTATGAACAAGGACGCCCGTGTTGGTGTGATGGACCCCAGTTGCAGACCATTTAACCATTTCAAAACTTTACCGAATGGAGCGAAGAGGAATACCTTTTTGGGAAGATCAAGCATTTTCAAAGGAGAAGAAAAAGAATTCAGTCAATACACTAATGAGATGGACCTATTGAGCAATGCCTGTCCGCAGATATACACAAATCGAAGGACCGGAGATAACCTTTTGCCGCGACTATTAAAGAGCAAATCCTTGAGTAACCTTGAAAAAAGGCCATACTTCCATATGGATGCAAGTGAGCGCAACTTTCTTCCCATTAACAATAACAACAGGAGCATACCGAAGAGCAGTTCGTACAATAGAATAAACTCGGGTGACTATTTTGATCTGCATCGAGGAGGATTTTCCAGTGATTACTACATGGTGAAAAATGCCATGGGCAGTCAGATGGACAACTCCATGAGGTACATGTTCTTAAGTAATTATTACGCCAGATTGGGAAGTGAAAAAATCGATACTTCAATGGAAAGCCACATGAAAAATTTAAATTCGGATGATTATATGAAGATAAGAGAGTACCTCCGGAGGGGGAGAAGAGATCATATCACGCAAGGCGATTATTATTGTTTAAAAAATGGCAGTAAGGGGGAAGCACAAGAAGAACAAAAACAACAGAAGCAGCCGCAGCAACAACAAGGTCGTACCATTAAAGGGTCCATCTCCCCAAGTGATCATTCCTTTCTTAGGAGCAGCTATCTTGGTAGCCTCCCCAATGCATACTCGTTTGACAAACTGATGATGAAAATCCCCCGCAGTGAAGACATCGAGGAGAGCAACCGTAGCCACCCCAGTGAAGCTGAAATAGGAATGGGATTTACCAGCGTTGCCTACATGCCCACAGGAGCGAACACCACAGCGAATGAGAGTAAGCAGATGAAGAAGAACGGCCAAGCGAGACTGGAGAAAGGTGCCCACAAGAATTCTCTCCTCCTGGGCAGAAGCGACACGAAAAGTAGGACAACAGCCAAGTGCACCTCACACGGTAAGAGACCCCCAAACAGTAATGGGAGGAATGCCAAGATGAAGAGCAACGAAGTGGGCAGCGTCAGGGCCCAGCCAGTGAGCGTTACCACCAGAAGGAAAGCAATTGACAAGGGCACGGAGGAGAGAAAGAAGCAGGAAAAGCAGGATAAACAGGACAAGCCGGAGAAGCTAGATCAACCGGAGAAACCCAGCAAACAGGACGAGCACAACGAGTACATCACGTTCAGCATGGATTACAACGAAAATAAAAACATCATTAAGGAACTCATTCGAAATAGAAGCAACCTGCTAGTTGGTTCATCCCCCAGGGGCACTATATTGTCCGGGTCGTCCCACGTGGAACCGCTACTGCACGGCAGCACCACGAATAATAGCGAGTCCGTTGAAGGAGGACAAATAAAAACAACTATATTGAATGCCAGAAATTTGAAGAAGCACATCCTAAGCAACCGAGTAATCATATACTCCAAAGGACTAGCCCTCGCATACAATGTGGACGAAATTAATAAAAACAGCATTTTCTTTTACACCTTTGAAGAAAGCAACATCACCAGTAACTTAAATAATGGCACCTCTGTGAAGGATTTTCCCACGAGCATTGTGCCAAACCACAACGGAAACACCACCACCAACATTAACAGCAGTGCCAAGCACAAAAGAAGTTACGACGATTTTAATAAAGATACACAGAAACAAGCTGCAAACACCAACATATATTTCAATTATGCACACAATATCAATTTTAGTGAAAAAAAATGTACAGATAAGAGTAAAAACAAGAAAGTGACCACTTGTGTACTTAATTATAATTACCGGAAAATAATTGAGGAAGTTGGCGTCTTTAACGAGAGCATGAAGTTGCAAATACCTCAGTTGAAATATAAGTTTAAAAGGTATGTTAATGTTGAGGAGGATAAGAACGATGGGAAGAAGAACGACGAGAGTAATGCCGCGGAAGGAATATCACATCACACGGCAAGTGACCCGCATGCGGTGAATGCAAAGGTGCAGGGCGAAGCCATTCCTACCTCCTGCAGCAGTACCGGCATGAAAAAGAAGAAGGACAAGAAGAAGAAGGAGAAGAAAACATCCCTCCCAGACGGAGGTGACGAAGAGACAGATGCAGGAGAAGCCGCGGGAAGGGGCCACGACGTTGTGCACATAACGAACCACGCCGCGGGAGCGACCCTCTTGGGCAAAGGCCCCTTGGGCAATAACCAGCACGCGGCCAAGAAGAAAAAAACAGTGTTGAAGACGCCAAAGGAGGGACCCTCCATCGGATTGCCTCTAAAAGAAGAAAAGGGGTCGAAGATAGGCAAACCGTCCCCCCCACTTGGTAAGAATCCCTGTGGGCACGATTCCTTGAATGGGTTCCCCTCATTGGGCGAAAATCAGAATGCAGATCAAAGTAATCCCTGCGGGAATCCCGCTCCCCCCATACGGAATGGTAGCAATAATAGGAATGGCAAACATGAGGCACACCAACCGTGGGAGTCGTATGTGTCTCCTCAACACCGAGACGATGCTAACAGAGCAAATGGCCGGATCAACCCAGATGTTAAGGAAGACATCCCCGCTAGCCAATCCAAAGCGAACAAAAAAACGAGCAAAGGGGTGTTCAGGGAGAGGAGCTTGACCAATAGGGAAACAACTCAAAGTGACCAAAGTAGCAAACAAAAGAAATCAAATGAGAAGAACAAAAAAATGATGCCAAAAAGTGCACAAAATGGTATGGACGAAGAAACTCGCGTGGTCGAGAAGAATGACAACGGTGAGACGAATGAAACGGTTGCCATTTTGGATGAAGCTGAACACGATCCAAGGAAGAACCGCGATGTGGATGCCCCCCTTGGGAAAAATTCGAAGGAAAAAGGCGAGAAGAACAAAAAGGGCGCAGTGCGAGCAGCAGGAGGGCTGCCACAGGGCGAACACGAAAAGAAGGAGCAAAGTGGAGACGAGATTAAGATTAACCCCAGTGGGAAGGAAAATACAAAGGGTAGCAACGATGGTGGATGCCCCCCTTTTGACGAAGAAGAAGCGGAGGAAGCAGCGTATAATAACCCCCAGGGAGACACACACTACGAGGGCGACCATGCTGGTAAGAGGAAAGACAATTACAAAAGAAGCCAAGTCAACCAAATAAGTGATGTGAAAAAGGAACAACAGTCATATTGTTTGATCTCCGCTGCCGAATCGTCCAAACAGCACGATGAGGACAAGAGCGATTATGAAGTTGAACCAAACGAAGCACAGAAGAACGACTGTGGTCGTGAGGATGGTAGCAATTCTGCTGCGTTACTAGAAAACAAAGCCTCTGGTGATATGCTGGATGGAGAGAACAAAGCGGCGAGTGACCATCACCGAAACGTTTATTCAATGGAGGGAAACCCTGTTAGTCTAAAGAAGAAAAAGAAAAATGTAGATAAAGACACAGGTAATGTCGATGGAATTTCCCCCTCTGAAACTGACACACGCGTACCAATAAAAAGAAGGAAGACAGCCGATGAGAAGAATGAACGGTCAGATGAAAAGCATAAGAAAGAGGAGACTACTCCAACACACGAATTAGCAGCTGTCAAAAGGGACAGTAAGGAGAATGAGGAAGAAGAAGAAAAACAAGAAGAAGAAGAAGCAAAAGAAAACTGCCATTCAAAAGATTCAGACCAACGAAGCAGCCTTAAGAAGGAGGGGCACTCTTCAGACAGTGAAAACGTAAAGGGGGAAAATGACACCATGGGTATTCTGTCGAACCCATTGTTAACAGAGAAGCTTCTTCATCGTAGGAAGGCTCGCGCGAAAAGAATAATTTCGGACGACGATGAGGATGATGAATGCGAAGTGGATACCCAGAAGAGCCCCAATGGGCTAGAAGCAGCAGGGCCGCAACGGAATCCTCGAGAAAGGAATATGAATAATGAGGAAGTCGAAAAGGATACATCGTGCCATAAGGAGGCTAATAGGAGCCATCGCGAAGGGGTAATGTCACACGAGGAAAATAATCATCATGCTTATCGTGAGAAAGGTACTTGTCGCAATCGTAAAATAGATGAACAGCTAAAAGGTGATGGTGGAGCGAGTAGGAATGAACCAGAACAAGTGCTGCATCACCGGAATGAAACGGTCCCTCTACACAAGGAGAGGCATTCGCCGTATAGTCCTATCAGAATGGCCGATCGTTATGATGAAGAGACGCAAAAAGGAGACCAAAAGGAAGAGTACACAGCGATGATACCCAAGAGGATGCAAAAGGAACAGGACAACGAGTCGTCTGCGACAAACAAAAATGATGCATTCGAAGAGGGAGAAGCAAACGAATGGGTTCTTCACCCACACGAGCGTGGCGAAGGTGACCCCAAGGGTTACAGCAAGAAACCAAGAGTACACGACTATGAGCAGGATGGAGATGATACAAAACGGTGGGGGCACAGCACCAGGGAGAATTATGTAAAGGGTGGTTATGACCATAGTGAGGAGGGGCGAAATGAAGAGAGGCGAAGTGTGAACGGCCAGGACAGCCAAATTTCGCACTCCCCCTCCATCGATAGGTGCCATGATGAGCTCATCGGCAGGTACATGGGTAGGTACGGCGGCAGGTACAGCGGTAGGCCTATCGGTGGGCACGGCGATAGACACAGCGATGAGTACTTCCACAGATACAGAAATAAGTACAGCGATAAGTACGACAACACACACCTTGACCGGCCGGGAAAATTCGACCCGTACCCGAAGCAACACTCGGATATGTACGATCGCAGGGACAGAGACTACACGGGGTACAACGGGAATCCTCCGAGGCACGAAACATATAGAAAGTATGTGAACGACTACGATTACTATGGACGATTCGAAAAGCACAGTCGATACGGGGAGCACGACCTGGATGGAAAGCCGAACCGCTATGATAACCGAGAAGACAGATACGATCCAAGAAACGGAAGGATCGAAGAAAATTTGAGGAGGCATGAAAACGAAAAATTTAAAAACGTTAACTGTGATAAGAGGCATCATACTAACATGACCAGTCGCAACAGCAACCGCACCTCTCTTAACCGAAGCAGAAGCCATGCGGAAGATGCAGAGCGGGAGTCCCCAAATGGGAATTATAAAAGGGAAAGGGAGGAACGGGAACGACTCGAAGGAATAGCAGGCGAACAGAAAAATAACAACTACACAAGGTACGCAGAAAAAGAAAATCGGTACGACTATTTGGAGAGCGACTACAAAGGAGGCTACGTGGACAACGATAAGGATGACAGCTATTTTGGCAGAAGGATTAAACAGAGTAATCACAACTTTGAGAAGAATGAGCCCAAGCATTATGCGAGTGTCCACAGCGGATACGGAAGTCAGGGCGCCAAGTTTCAGCGGCATCGTGCCTACGATAGCGGCTACGATGGAGGCTACCATGACAACCACTACAGCCATCACAATCACCACGGCCGACACGAGCAGAGCGATCACCATGATCAATACAACCATCATTATCACCGCCAGGGCCCCCAGAACAATAAACTTGTTAACAGGAGCTACAGAAATTAGGGACGCCCGACGGGGTGGGCAAAGTAAGGACAAAGCCCGCTACGAGGACTCTACGAAATGGACTGAAAAAGGAAGAATACTTCTAAGCAACCCAAAAAGCTGTAAATACAGCGATGGTTGTGCCTAACTTTCCAAGGAAAAGTCTCATCATTATGGTTAAATGTAGTGTCGATTAAAGATCATCTTTGCGTCCTGTTGGTGGCCCTTTTGGCTAGGGCTGCGCGATGCAGATGGGAGGAAGGCGCCACGATTGGAAAGGATATAGGAATTCTCAACGGTGTTAATCTGCGTCGAGCCAAGCAGAAAAAGGAAAAGAAATTCAGCTCCACTATGATGAAGTATTAACTGAACGAACTGCGCGTTAAGCAGTGGCCAGAAAAAAGATACATGGATCATACGGGAGCGGGTAGCAGATAAAAAGTGTTGCTTTCGAATTGTGGGAACGGAAGAAAACAGGACTTTTTAATGGACCCGTTTACGAGCTTTGTAAGGGAGCTTTTCAGTGCACTTCTCCGAGAAGAGCTCTTTATAACAACTGAGCACAAACGTACCCAGTGTTGGGGGCGATCCAATAGCGGAACTTCACCTGCCAGCCGCGGCGCACACAAGTATATATATTATGTACGTTCGTGCCTACATCCAGGTGTGCCTCCCTTGGGTTTCTCTTTTTTGTTTTATTTTTACTTTCCCATTTTTATCATCTCACCCTTTATTTTGTCCATCCGCCGTGCTGCATTTTACTCAGTTTGGTTTAATTTGTTTCTTTCCTTTTTTTTCCTTTTTTTTCCTTTTTTTTTTTTCTTTGTCTGTATTTACCACTACTGAAGATGGTGAATAAAGGTTTGTGGATTCCCCGCATGGTGTGTGCGGTGTGGGGGCCCTGGAATTTTGCGATTTGGCATTCACTCTCGACCTCGACAATTAACCTTTTCTTTTAATTACGTGTATGCAAAAAGTGCGTACCATATTATTCATATGCTGTGTGTATATACATGTGTGTAATTAAAAATTTGACTCTTTCCCCTTCCCTTGTGCGTTTGTGTGTTTAATTCATGTACGTGCTGGGGCGAATGTCGATTTGTTTTCTCCTACAGCTTTTACGTCACGCACTTTATATGCCTATCATTATGTTCCAATTTTGCATTCGAATAAGCGTTCCTTTTTAAGAGAATAAAGAAAAAAAAAAAAAAAACATCGTACCGACGTACCAAAATTAACTTAAAAAAATTTGAAAATGCTGATGGGATAAGCAGTGTCTCGCATGTGCTCTACATACAGGTAAAGGCAGCACTTGGGATGTTGGGGACTGCTGTCTTCCCTTCGGTGTGGAGTCAACTTGTCACGTTAACCCCACGTGACTACGAGTGGCCTACTCCAATTGTTCACTGGATCCCCTGTTGGATGTTCTGAATGTAGTCGTACATAATCGTCGTTATGTTGTTGTACGCCTGGTGGATTTTGTTTATCATGAAAATGCTGGCGTCGTTGTCGCTTTTGTCCAATTTAAGGCGCTTCCTTCGATGGGGGTTGGGGGGAAAGACAACGATGTAGGCGGGGAGAGAGCAGTGATGGAGCGGCGTGCCGCGTCTAGTTACGCTCTCTCAGTGCCTTTTTGCATTTTCGCAATTTTGCACCTTTGTATATTTTCCTTTTTTTATTTTTTTTTTCCCGTGCGCTGGTTCCATTTCTCACCTCAACTTCTCCACCGTGTTGTACTTAAAGCAGTTGATATCCGAGTGGGACAGACTAAGAATGGAAGAAATCAACCAGTCGCTCTTTTCCCTCAGCAGAAGGTACCTACGCGGTGTATAAAAGACAGGGGGAAGAAGAAGAAAATACATTAATGTCCATCCTTGCATACGGAATGAATATAGCTGCACACGGAATCGGCCTCAAAACCAACGGGGGGAGCACCACGAGGGTGCACACGGAGGAGCTTTTTCCTTACCCCTTGACAACCAACTGAATGTAGGTAAAAATAAAATACTGCTTCTTCTGATTTTTCATGGTGAGGAGCATGATCATTTCTCTCGTTAACTTAAAGGGGGCCAGTTCGAAGTTTATCGAAATTCCTAAGACGAGGGGAAAGCAAAACAAACATGTTGAGCGTGCAATTGCGGACATGCAAATATGTAGTTTCCACATGCGCACACCTTGGGGCAGCACCCTGAAACAAGGAAAAGGCAGCCCCTTCACACACGCAACTAGCTCCCCTACCCGGGTAAATATTCAAGATGTAACCAAAGTCAATGTGGATAATATTTCCGTAATCGTCGAAGAGTAAGTTGCCGTTGTGCCTGTCCTTCACTTGCAAAACAAAGGACAGAAGGGAGTAGGCAGCCAAGGAGCAGATAAAATTTTTCAAAGCATAGATATAAGTGTTGATATGTGAAAATTTCAGGTGGTAAAACTTTATTATGTTCTTATACTTTCTTCCTATTTCATGTCTGCTTTTTGTATTTGCTAACACTTCAATAACTGCCCCGAAATTTTCTAATTTTTTTTTTTTTTTTTTCTTTCTTTTTTTTCTGGATGTTTCTACTCCTTTGGATTTCCCGCTAATGTGTTCGGGTATGTATGGAATTATGCTTCGCTCAAGGTTCTCCTTTTGCGAGACGTCCCTGCTATGCCTCATCTCTTGTTGCTCTCCCTTCCCAGGGTCATTTCGTCTGACTGCAGAGCGTAGCTCTTCCCTCATCAGAGGGGTTTTTCCATCACCGCCGTTGCAGCTGCCTCGCGGGTCGGTACTGTTTTTAGAGAGGTCCTCTGTATTTCCGTCCTCCATGGAGGGCTCCCTTTTACTCGCGTTTCGTCCGACGCGATCTTTTTTGCTCACTTCCCCTTTGGCTTCCTCCTCGGTTTGCTCCTTCCTCTTCCTGAAGAGGCGGAAGGAGAATGAGAATTTGCGGCCACTCCGCGTTTTTGCTTCATCCACCCCGTCCCCCCTGCTGGCGGCGCACTTGCTATTGCGGTCCCCCTCCCCTCCCTTGACATGGACGTTGCTATACTTATTTGTCACGATGTTGTAAGGAAATAAATTATAAGACGATTTATAGTCACTTAGGATGTGGATGAAAATGTGAATAATCTGTATGACCAGTTTGTCCTGCCTGACATCATCATTAACTTTGTATATGTACGAAACGTCTTCCCAATTTTGGCTCATTTTGGGAGGGGTCAAAAGGGCACTGTGTAGGGAAGGGAAGGCACAATTCCTGTTACCTTCGATGTCTCCTTCTGGCAACTTCCCGCTTCTCTTTATACAATCAGTGCTGGCATGTTCGTACGTGCGTACACTCTTGTTGTATCCCTCACTGTATAAGTAATAAGAATGTGGCCTTTTTTCGGAACCACTCCTTGTTTGTTCCTGCAGTGTATGTGTTCCAAGGGGGACGTCTCCTTCGCTGACGAACAGACTTCGATCGTTCTTCTTCAAGGGAGCGCCATCCCCGCCGCCATTGGAAGTTGCCATTCTGACGTTGGGAAGAGACCACATGCGGTGGTGCGTCCGTTTTTTGCTCACATGGTCCGTTGGCATGGTCTTCTTTGCGTGATGGCCTGGAAGACTTCCAACTGTTGTCCTGCTCATCGCAGAACTCATTAGAAGTTTATC